AACTTTTCTACCTTCCAAAACACACCTCTCCAATGTGGAAGATCAGAAATCAATGCGAAAGTTCTTTCTAAGCTGCTATCTAGCTCCAGATTTTCTAGATAGGGGGAACTTGAAAGTCCCTAATTTCCTGATTTCTATAAAGAGACGCCAAAAACAGATAACCCACAGAACTCTCTTCCTCTGAGACAAGGCTATGTTTCCAGAGTTAAGGTGTACAATAATGAAATAAGGAAGAAACACACATGCAGACAACACCCCTTTGTCATTACTGGCCAAATCAGCCTCTTCTTTCCTGGGACAGAGAGAAGTTTCATCTGCCTGTGATCTGCGAGTAACCTACTTCTCTCATAATTAAGAGATTTGGGAATAGAAAGAGAAGTCCTCTAAGCAAGAAAAAGAAAGCCCCTGTTTCTTGGATTATAAAAAAAAAGCATGTCCAAGAAAATGTAGCTGATACGCAATGATGCGATGTGATGTGATGTATGATACATGGCATGACTTGACATGGGCAACAGCCAGAGGCTGAGTGCAGGTGGCCTCGCAGATGAAAAATGCAGAAACATGAGCATCCCTGATGGTGATGACTCACCCTTCTCCCTAGGGAGGGATGGTTCCCGTCCAGACCAGTCCTAGAACAGCCTGGACAGTTTCAGCAGGGCCCCAAGTGATTTTGAGGTTTAGGCTAGGGGGAGATTTGGGTCAGAACCCCTAGAACTACATGGCCCCTCCTGATTCACATCATACCTCCCACCAGTAGAGGCCAGACTTCCCCATTAGCTCCAGAGAGGGCTTTCTCTGGAGTGGAGGCAAGGCATGACTAGGCTGGGCATCCTGGAATCATCAGAATCACAGCACAGCTCATGTTCCTAAGACTGGAGTCAAAACAGTCTCCTACACAGAGACGAATCTAGAATCAGAGTATTCAATCCAGTTGCATTACTTCCCTAGTAATTTTTAGAGGGGAGGGGAGGGGAGGGGAGGGGAGCGGAGGGGAGAAGAAAGCCAAAAAAGAAAGGAGACAGAGAGAGACAGGAGAAAGAAGACTTGGTTCTTTTATTAAAGTTGCAATAAAACTGGAAGCAACCAAAGGAGTCAGAATTTTATGCACCTTGTTGGTATTTGGAGAAATTCATGGGAAGCCAAAGTTCAGAGAACAAGAGGGAGCCAAGAAAATAAGATCTCTTGGAAAAAGCAAAAAATATCACCTAACAAGATTTCACCACATACTGGTAAGTTTATGTAAACTTGGTACTTGAGGCAAACCAAATAATTAATGGCTACGTAACCACTACTCAATCATTTACGGGGCCCAAGATCCAAAACCACAAGCAGCTGGTTAAGAATATTTTAGTGAATGGTCTTCATACCACTTCTAAATCTATACCTATAAACCTTTGGAATTAAAGTATATTCTTGACCACTCTACACGGGCAAGTAATCATAATTCTGGGGACTCATGGGCCTGTAAGAACAATGCTGAATTGTCTTGACTTTTTTTTTAAGATTCTGTTAGTTTGGTTCAGGTCCATATTATAATATTTAAGAAGATTTATTCTCACATGGACAATGTGATCTATATAATCATCAGGCTGAGGTACTAAAATTTTAACCGTTTTGTCATTTTTAATAGGCTGTCTCCAAATGTTTTCTCCAAAAATATTCAATTTGAGGGCTAGTAAACAATGATGAAACAAGTTTATTTTAAGAAATAGAGCCAACACTTATTGTTTGGGGACTTTTTGATAAAGGCCATTCTCACTGGAGTTAAGTGATATCTCATTGTGGTTTTGATTTGCATTTCCCTGATGATTAGAGATGTTGAGCATTTTTTTCATATGTTTGTTGGCCATTCTTCTGTCTTCTTTTGAAAAGTTTCTGTTCATGTTATTTATCCACTTTTTGATAGGCTTGTTTGATTTTTTTCTTGCTGATTTTCCTGAGTTCTAAATAGATTCTAGTTATCGGCCCTTTATCAGATGTGTAGCATGAGAATATTTTCTCCCATTCTGTAGGTTGTCTGTCTGTCCTCGTGATAGAGTTTCTTTGGCTGTGCAGAGCTTTTTAATTATCCTGGCTAGGGCTGGAACCCATTCTACTAAGTGAAGTATCCCAAGAATGGAAAAATAAGCACTACATGTACTCACGAGCAAATTGGTTTTAACTGATCAACACCTAAGTGCACATATAGGAATAACATTCATCAGACGTCGGGCAGATGGGAGGGGCGAGGAGGAGGTGGGTATATATATGCATAATGAGTGTGATGAGCACCATCTAGGGGATGGACACGCTTGAAGCTCTGACACAGTGGGGAAGGGGAGGCATGGGCAATATACATAACCTAAACATTTGTACCCCCATAATATGCTGAAATAAAAAAGTAACATAAAAATGTAGATTCCCAGCCCCCATCCCACGAAGCTCTGATTCGATAGGGGAACCTATGACTTTGCATTTAACGAGCCTTAGGTGTGATTTCTTTTCTTTTTCTATCTGAACAGGTATTTTTTTAATTTTTATTTTTACAGATTTAGGGGGTACAAGTGCAGTTTTGTTACATATATATCCAAGGGTGGTGAAGTCTAGGCTTTTTGAGTAACCACTACCTGATTAGAGTGGTGCTCACACAGTAGTGATATTCTTTGGAGGTAGGGGGTTGTGGGTGGGTAAACTCACAACTTAGGTGTGGTTTCCATGCAGTGGCTGGGGAGTCAGCTTCAGAAACCAATTAAATGAAAAGAGAAAGGACTCTGGAGTCAGCAGCAGCATCTGGCTGTGATTCAAATTCCCACTGGGTCCTTTACATGCTATGTGACTTTGGGCATGTGACTTAACCTCTCTGGGCCTTGGTTTCCTCACCTGTAAGTAAACCTCAGTCTTAGGAGCTATCACTATTTAGAACCCTAATTTACAGAATCTGTGGATAGCAGAGGGAAGGGGGGCAGGAAGAAAAAACAGAAACAGAGCCAGCATTCTCAATGGCCATAACCCATGTCCGCATACAATCCAAACTGGCAGATGTACCAATCCTTTGAGTTAGAGGTAAAGGACCCATAACTAGCTGCTTCAAACCTCTTGAACGTCTCAATTCACAGTCCATATAGTGATCAGAATGGGCTTAAATATCTGTCTGGTGTCACAAGCTGTAGGTTATATACAAATGTAAAAATTTCACCTTAATCCAATTTCTCAATTTTTGCTTATGGCAGAGCGAGTTTGTAGTGTAGAAATACAGGCTTTCAGTTGACCAGGATGTCCAGGCATGTCTTAGGACTCCCCGAATGGAGTACCATGCCACATTTACCACCCAACCTTAGGGACAAGGTCAAAGGAAGAACCCCCTCAAGGTTCTGCCAAACACATTTCATCACATTATGCTCACTGTGCTCAAAGTGATCTTGTTCATCTTCAGGATGAGGTTCTCAACACTGCCAATCACTCTCTCAGCTGCAAAGATACGTTTGGCTGCCGCCTTCATACTCACACCCATTTTCTAGAAGTAAAACATAAGTTTTATTGCAATTTTATTATCACATAGCCTAGGTGTTCCAGGAAGACTAAATGAGAATAAAATTATGTAAATCACGTGTAGTCACAGATGTCTTCAAATGCTTCAATGGCACTAATCATAAACAATTCATCTTTCATACTGCATATTGCAACTATAACCTCAACTAAGCTATTTCTGGTTGTCATGCAGGCTACTGACCAATATTTTGTTCCTTCCTTCCTGGCACATGGTAGGATTATGCTGACTTTCCTGCTAAGCCCAGCATGGGCAGGTAAGTTTCTTTGGCCAATGAATATGAGCAGAAATATCACTTCCAGGAAGAGGCTCTCAATGCCTCTTCACCACATCCGTTTCTTCCTCTGCCACAGGGATCATCAATGTTCTCAATGTGACTGCTCTCTCAGCTTCTATCACTGAATACAGATGACAACACAATACACAACAGAGATACAATATGAGTAAGAAATACACATATTATTTTAAACCATTGAGCTTTGGGGATTGTTTGTTACTGTAACATAACCTAGCTGATACACTATAACCTGACTGAAACATCATCACTTCATAGGAAAGAAATTCTAGGACACTGAGCACTATAGTTAATGCTACTATAAATCAAAACAGAAGAAATTTGGGACCATATTTATTATATGGTGACATATATATATATATGATATGTGGATATATATATATTGTTGATAAACACTAAGTAAAACAGACTTCTCTTCCACCTCCCCCAACCCAAAAAATAATTCTCAAAGCAATTGGATAATCTGAATTTTTCAAAATCAGTGTTGAGAAAAAGAAAGAAAAAGAAAAACAGAGTTTCCCCATTTTGACCCTTTTGTCAAAAATCATTTGCAGAGTTCCACTTCTTTTCTAAGACCAAGTACATTAATCAAATGCAGAGCTTCAAAGGGGCTTCATTTTGAGTGACCCAACAGACAAATAAATTAGCTGTCAAGGGCTCCTTTGTAATTGAAAGGGGCCAGGCTGACCCAAGGGGAGAGGACAAAATCAAAAAGGGAACCATGCAAGCAAAAACAGCATCGAGGACCTTAAACAAACCAGAAAACCGTCCTACACCCTCTAATTTTCAAGGGTGTTAAGTCTGAGCCAAGCACACGTGTGTTTATTTACTAGTAAGAGAATGCAAACGTCCCCCCATCTGACTGATTTCTTATGTGCTACAACCGTAACAAATGTTTGTGTGTAGACTACACATTTGAGTGTTAAGCTCAGACGTGGCCACTTATAACCTGATCACACATGTCATACCTATGACCTAAAAGAATTTTCCCTTTGAAACGATGTAACTTCGGAAGGTTTTCTTCTTTATTGCAGGAAAGAATCCCTTAAAGTTTCTCATCTGAGTAAAGAATTGTTCGTTTTTAATTTGCAGAGCGTTCAACTGGTGACTCAGTGAGGGATGATGTCATGTTATCCTACGATTGCTGCTGTGGTTCTCTCTGCTCACTCAAACCATTCCCTCGTTTTTCTGTGGCAGACAGTCCTGCCCAGCTTTCCATCCTCTCGCCAGCTTCTTCCCTCCTTCCCAGCCAGCCAGGAGCAAACAGCCTCACAAGCAGCAGATGAAACAGGAAGTCTGACAGCTCGAGTCTGCAGTGGGACCCCTAGTGTTTTCCCACTCCATGTCCTGGCATCGTTCCCCAGAAGTACAAACACACACACACAGAGCTCCCATTGTTGCAGCCTTCCCCAGCCCACTGATCCTAATATGGAATGCAGCAGGAAACCCATGATTTCCTGACACTCCACAAGCTGGAGGAAGCGAGGGGAAAAAACTCCATTAAAAAGCCCAGCTTTCCTCCATGTTAGATGTGCACTGGAAAATGGGGAAGACTTAGCAAAATTCCTCCGTGTCTTCAGCCAGGCTGGAAAGGGGGAGAGCAGAGCAAAACCCTCAGGGCTGCTGAAATTTCTAGACTCTGAGGAAGCTCCTAGAATTCTGTGAAAATGAGGGTTTCTTAACTGATAGGGGAAAGGGACAGGACCCTTTTTATAATTCCTCCCAAGGGTGTGCTACCTTTCTCTGCCAGCATGGTAAGCGACAGGGCATATCCCAGCCTCGGACATGTCTGCATGAGCCAAGGTACCAAAAGTAAGGCAGAGTAAACTCAAGCCTGGCACTGGCTTCCCGCCGCTTCATGTGCTTTGGAAGAAGCAGGGGAAGCAGCAGCAGGAGCCCCGGCAGCTGGAGCCGCCAGAATGAACTGCAGAGAGGGAACTGACAGCAGCTGTGGCTGCAGTGGCAACGAGGACGAGAAGAAGATGCTGAAGTGTGTGGTGGTCGGGGACGGTGCCGTGGGGAAAACCTGCCTGCTGATGAGCTACGCCAACGACGCCTTCCCGGAGGAGTATGTGCCCACCGTGTTCGACCATTATGCAGGTAAGAAAAAGTGGGAAGCTCTCTCTGCATCCAGATGAACAATGCGGGAGGCGATACCCCGAGTTCAGAGGGGCCTGGTTTATTTCTAAGGTCAGTATTGGGTGCTGGCTTGGCAGTAACCAGGGAGCCTAGAATAACAGACAACGAACGACTTGGCTGGAATTGTTGGGAGAACAATCCGTGCCTCAATTTGTATTATAACACCCTTTCCCCCTTAAAGCAAATCACTAACACTGGGAAAATATCCTGAACTGCCCTCTTGACTTTGGGGCAGAGATTTTACTCACCATTTGCTTGAAGATCATTAACTTTTTATTAGGAACATTTTTAAATGCAGGGTAATTGCATCACATTTCTTTTCTACAAAAAAAAAAATATATATATATATATCTCACCACTAGACACACAAGAAATGAAATGTTCTCGCCACTTTTCACATATTAACCTCATGCTATCCATAAATGAAGGTGCTAAGATTAATTAATAAAATGATCATTTTTCCTATAACAATTGGTGCTATAATACTGTATTTTCCTTTTCCTGGGGCTGTAGATGGGGGGAAAGTAGTCAAAAGTATTAGGCAATCTGCATCTCGGGTTAAACGAAACATTTTTCATTAATATATTTTAAAAGTAAAAATACAAATAAAATGTGAATCATTTTAAAGTATCTCCTGAAAGGACAAAATGAGCATAAAATGTTTTAAAGCGTAACAGTTAAGATACTGTAGTCACAACTTAATTAGTTCAGTGGACTTTGATTTTTTGTGTTCTAAAGTTTGTGGGTGAACTTGTGGATTTGATATAGCATTATCTAAATGTTTCCATTTGATTCTTACTTTTTCTCTTTCCAAAACAAATATTAAGCTCATCAAATGCAAATGTATGAAATTCTTCAAGTTTACAGTACCCTAAATTTTATAACTTTCTTAAACATAGTGATTGGTACAGTGACTTATCAGAGATTTGAGATTTTGTAAGAGGAAAGTTTCTTTTCTTTCCCCTTGGCTTTGGGACAGGTTCAGCAAAGGGGAAATGGCTCACAGGAAACCAGTGTGAGTGTTTGCTTTGCTATGTGGCCATTTGAAATCTTCCTTCTATAGGAAGTAGCTTCTTTTCCAGAGCCAAACCATTACCCTCCTACATTTACATGATTTATGACAATATTACGTAGCAGACAGGAAGAGAACCACAGTGAATATAGTATATATTTCCCAGCAGGTTTTTCTATATTTGTAGAAATTAAAGAGCAAATTTTAATGCTGGCTCCCTTAAGCCTTTCGGAAAATATAATGACTATGGCCAAAGAAGAACATTTTAATGAGAACAGAATAAAGAGAAGAACAGGTTGACTTCCATCTTGAGAAAAAAACTAATTATAAAATTTGTGGGTCTGTGCCTTGAGAAAGTTACTCAGATTCTTGTCCTGAAAACATCTTAGCATAAGTTATTCTACACATTCTTTCTGCCAAGAAAGGGAAAGTGGCTAGTATCTTATTTCAAAAACTTTGAGATCAAAGGTAGAACCCAAAATCTACTAAAGGAAGAAGCTTCAAATGCTCATGAAAATTATGTATCCAAATCCCCATCTATTGAATAAACCAACTATGGTGTGGTGTCAGGAAGAAAGAGGACAAAACCATCTGTAAAGATGAAGTCAGCCTATTAAAAAAACACATCAGAGATCAAACAAATGCTGAGCCACATTTAGATTCCAGTAGGCTCAAATTATTTTATAGTTCAATTATGTGCATATTTACTATAGTTTGAGCATTAAAGCATCTTAAAGATTTGGGCTAGTGTATTATTTTGGCTCCCAAGAAATCACAGCTACTGTATTCAGAGCACTACTTTGCACATACTGAGTTGCTTTGATTTACACTTTGTACCTCTTTAAGTATATAACCATCTTCTGTGCTTTCAGTAAGGTTAAAAAGGAAATGAAGATATGAGCCACATACATTTAAGATCGTAATGAAGTGATCGTTTCTATAAGCAGAGGGGTCTTCTCCTCTCCTCCACTACAAATACTGGAGCTCTTTTTACCACTACCCTCCTCATATGTGACATGGTTGAACATAAATCCTTAGGCAGTCACATGAGAATCTACAACTAATTGTATAAGAACTAAATGCCCTTTTCTCCATTTGGATCCAGTCCCATGGACCCACTCTAAAATGACACTCTGCAGTTGAGTTACTGAGTCTTTAGGAAATTGCAATTTTTAAGTCATAGAGAACTTATTCTTTCAATATTTTTCACTAATAACTACCCATCCTAAGAAAATAGAGATATAATAGTAAGGATGGAAGTACAACTTATGCTCAAGATGGTGAGCTCTGAAGCCAGATGGCCCAGTTCTAATACTGGCTCTGGCATTTACTCTGTGGCCTATAGCAAGTTACTTAACCTCTCTGTGCCTCAGTTATAACAAATGAAAAATAGGGACAATAAAAGTATTAGAATTGTTTTCAAGAACAGAATGAATTAATGTATGCACAGTTTATAGAACAAGACCTCATATGTGATAAAAGTTAGGTACATGGTAGCTATTATTATTAAGAAGAATGTCTCGACACTTGCCCATAGCTATGAAAGAGAACTAAAATCTAATTAAAGATAAGAACCACAAAAAGAAAAATTATAAGTCCAATTATAACATCCTCCAGGAGAGCAGGGTGTGATGGAGTATAAGTGTTGTCCTTATGAAATAGTTACCATCTATATTGATAATTGACAAATATGTCTACATGAAGTAATAGTAGTAGGATGTTAATTTAGGAGAGGGAATATTATTTTTGCATGACTGCAGAAAAATCAACAACCAACTGGAAAAAAATGTTTTAAGTTGTATGAATCCTGATTTTATCCCTTCATCCTACTTACCAGAATCCAAAAGTATATCTTCTCCATGTAATTTTCCTTGACTCCTCAAGAAGAGTTCCTTGCTCCATCTTCAATTTAGCTCCAGAAATGTATTTACATCTCTAGGACACATCTTCCACCACTGTCCAGTAATTTATATGTTTACTTATTTTCCCACCCCACCCCCACCCCCACTGTGCTGTGAGCTCCTTAGGGAATGGATCACATATTATCAAATCCAATGGTTGGTTCTCGGTCCTCATCTTGATCTCTTGGGAGCTTTTTTTATGGTTTATTATTCTCCTTCTTAAAACATTTTCTAGGCTTGGGGTTTCTGGGATACCACCTACCCATGGTTTTTATTCCACTCACAGCAAATCTCTCTCTCTTCTGCCACCTCCTCATCTCTTCCCCACCACTAAATGCTGGCATACATCCCTTGGTCCTCTTCTCTGTTTACACCCATGCCCTGGTTGATTATATCTAGGTTCATACCTTTACATGTAATTTATATACTCATAATTCCCAAATTTATATGTCTACCCCAAAGCCCCTGAGACTCAGACTCATATATCCAACTGCCCATTTGAATTTCTAATAGGCATCTCAGACTTAACTTGTCCAAACAGGTTTCTTAATTCCCCCAATCTACTCTTCCCCTAGTCTTCCCCATATAAGAAAATAACCACTATTTTCCACCCAGTTTCTGAGAACAAAAACCTTGGTATTGACTCCTTTCTTCCTTTGACAATACCCCCTTCCCTCTCTGTTCAAATCATTAGTTATTATTCCTTCCTCCTACCAATCAGCCCAACATTCCAAATATACCCCAAACCTGATGACTTGTCACCATCTCCATTGCTTTCCCTCTTGCCCAAGCCACCATCATCTCTCATCCAAACTACTAGAATCAACTCACAATTCCCTACTTTGAATCTTACCCCCTATAGTCCATTGTCCACAAAGCTGGTGGTGGGACTGGCCTCAGCCCCAACTCCTCCAGTCACTTGCCTTAACACTGAGACCCAGTCCTTTACCACAGTGTGCAAGGCACTCCAAGACTTGGTCCCTGTTATCTCTCCAACCTCATCTCCTAACACTCTCCTCTTCAATATTTTTGCTGTAGCCACATTTGCCATTTTGCCATCCCTCAAACACAATAAATTCCTTCCTTCCTTGAAGAGTTTGCATTTCCTATTACTCCAGCTTCAAATAACAGAGCTCAACATATAGTAGACTCTCAATAGATAATCTCTGAATAAATGAATTAGAATGTCAATCATCTGAGTCCCTCCAGCATTTAGATAGTTCCTGGTCCATTAAAACTTTGATGAATAAATGAACAAATTACTGGTCCTGTAGATATCTCTTTAGGAATGAATATAAAATTACTTATTAAATGCATTATGTTTTTTAACTATTTCATTCACAGTTTAAATAATCATTTTATCTGCACTGTAATTGCAATACAGCACTGAATTTTCTTGACCTACAGTGTCACATCTATCAAATAGTGAATGTCACTTGGTATGCCTCCATTTGTATCACATTCAAAAGCTGACCTAAATTTGGAGTGGCCCACCCAGTTGTAGCTTTTATACACAGAGCATACTCCAGAGTAACCCCAAGTTTGACTGAGAGCTGGGATTCAAGAGTAGTGGCAATAAGATGAAGGTGGAAAGGGTCATCTGTGTTTGTTACAAATGTACCGAAGGAACATTTCTGGGACCTTCTTCCTACTTCCAGAGATGAATCAAGATGTCCTAACAATCTTTACAGTTCTTAAAACTTACCATGGAACATTCCTTCTCTCATCCCATCTGTACCCTATCATTAGCTTTGAGTTTTGTAGCAGACCCCTGACTGGTAAAATATTCTTACCAATTAATGTTTTATATGACATATGACATAAGGATCAGACTTCCAATTTGATCAGGTGACAGGTACACTAAAAGCCCTGACTTCACCACTTTACAATTCATCCATGTAACAAAAACCACTTGTACCCCCTAAATCTATTGAAATTTTTTTTCAAAAAAGACTTCCAGTTTGAGTTTAGATTGCATGTTGAATTAGATCGTGTGCGTGGTTTGTAGGTTTGGGTTCATGAATGTGCAAAATAAGCAGATTCCAGGT